TTGTTCCACTTTTACCATCGTAACATAGATCGAATATAATTAGATGGTAGACAAATAACAAGCCAGAACAAAACTGATTTAGCGTATGATATAATTATCAAATTGGCATCAGTCCGTTTCATCGCCATACCATCCTTTGGTACAGTAGACCCAATTCAACATAGACTCGAAACAGGGCCACCCTGCTACTTACACCCATACCACGGATTTGGCACTACAAGAGGTTATACGTCCAAAAGGAGGGGACTTAGTTGCCAAGCTTGACCTACCCTAAGATATGTTATCGAAACAAGATGCAAGACGGCATCGTACGCTGTGCGGAATTGAGTGGTCATGCTCTCAAGAATCCGTATCAACTATTTAAATAATAAATAACATGCGCATGTCTTTTGAATAAAATATATATGAACTTATTTAACTTCGCATCGACTTCTAGGAAATTTGTCTATCTTTAACAGCAATGAGGGTAATTATGGGATTACAGATGGTTACAGAATAGGAAAAACTGAATTCGTGCAAACTCACGATGTTGACTACCGATCAACACAATAAACCACTTCATTATGTGTTCAGAGGTTTCTAGCGTAAACGAAAATTCCAAATTACAAGATCGACAAGATAGGAGTATTTAACCGTAGGCTTAAGAGATATGCAACATAAGCAGCAGAAGCGCCGTCGTGAGAACAGGCGAGAAATTAATAACAGAGAAGCGCTAAAAACGGAAACGTAATTTAGAACATCGATGTCATGCCTAATATGGAATGAAGCTGCTATTTTTCAGGGTCAGGGTAATGAAGAAGGCGCAATGGCTTAGTATTCCGGAAGTGTCGGATTCGAATCCGCTTAAGGGAGAATCTTTTTTACTGCGAATTCCCCCGAACAAAGAAATGCCCCATGTTGGTTCAGTGAAGTCAGCTGAGAAACGAGTAGATATCGGTGACCAAAGGAAAATAGAAACAATATGGTATTCTGTTCTGGCTTTGCCAGAATGAGCGAGGTGTTCGATCATGCTGTTCGATGCGACCGCCGCTTGTGGTTGCACTTCGCCTTTACCGATCTAATATTTGACTGTGCACAATAATAAGAATCATATGGTGCAAGGCCTGACATCAATTTCGAAATGTGAAGGGATCAGTTATCGTTTCCAAAGCACTGTGTGATAATGCAGACAAATTGGAGCAGATAATTATTCTTCGTAAATACCGTTTCAAAAAAGTCGTAAAAGGGATTATGCATTTTCGTTAGTACCATGTTAGTGAGAAGACTGCGCAGGAAGACGAAAAAAAGCAGACCAAGGAGATCGATGATGACAGAAAGAATAAGAACAAAAAGAAGAATATGACGATGAAGAAATAAATAAAAGAAAAAGGAGAACGAAGATCATAAAAGAGAGACGAAGAAAATGGAAACATGGAATTGAAAAATAGTTACTTGTAGTAACAGTGATTGGTAAATTTATCAAATGAATATCATTTGGAAGAATCAATTATCAATTACCAGTAGGTCAATCGGCAATACTTATCAGCTGACCAGTCAATCATGTTTTAGATACGATATAACATTTCCGATTCTGAATAAGTAGCTGCAATTACAGACGCTCTGCCGACCTAATGTTGAGAACATCATAAAACACAGATGTTACCACTGAAATTACCAACGTGTTTCGCTAAACATGCTGCAGCAATGTCGAGATAGACCTGATTATCTGGCAGTCATCCGCCTTAAATAAACAAAATATCTCGATTTAAAATATATGGTAGACTGATACCAGATTTTAACCAGTATATTCACAAACGTAAATTTTAAACTTTATTGTCTGCTACTCATTTCATCATTTCATTTGGCTATCACGAACCTGATAAGAATATTCGGAACAACGAAATAAGTGACAGAGAAGCAAGCTCTATAATTCTGAGATACGAATATGATGATTAAAATGTGGCATAAATCTACAATTGACTTTAAATCGAGGTATTCTGTGTATAAAAGGTAGCTACATGCCACCGTAGCGAAACGCAGTAATAGAAGTGGCAACACGTATGTTGTTTTGTCTTCAGCCATGAATCGACAGGCCGTGTAATACAAAAATTCTAAACTTATCAATTATACAAAAACAAGTCATGACTCCGGCAATTAAACAAAAACAAAGATTCATACCAGAGAGAATTGACACAACTGAATGTTTTAATGTCAAGATCTTTAAACTGCACATCGCCTGATGCATCCTCTAAACAATTAACCAGCTAAAAGTTGCTAATTAGACAGGCAGGAGTAAGAATCAGCAGACAGGTAAATACAAACAGGAATGTGAAGATGGATAGGCAGATATTTTCGGGTGATAGGTAGTTCCTTATATAGTGGTTACTACAAAACGGTATACAACACGGCTTCATTCAATGAAGCTGTCTCACGCTATCAAGGTGCAATTGTAATAGCAGCTGAATCAAAAACTTGCTTTTCCTGTGGTCTAAAAATTATGTTGACTACCACACTACATAGTCTGCTACCGGGACGGTCAAGTCTTACTCCTGTCATAAGAGAAGCTCGCTCAGAGCATATGGCCTTTAGCCATTCTGGTACGACCATACCAGAACATACTACCCATGTATTTCGCAAGTCAATGACTTCTCGATTAGTTCCGCTGAAACAACTTGTGGTGAATTCTTTGCTTTAAGGAATTAGCAAAAATACCAAAAAACGCTTTCCTCTCTAGGGTGTGGAACACGGCACCTGCGGAGTTCTAAGACGACTTCTTTGATACCATATCATCGCACCCAGCACCGGCTGGTCCCCACTTGTAGCTGCTGCACATGACACAAAATAGGCAAAAATTCCAATCATCCCGCTGTAAAAAAGTCCGTGAGAAACACTGGGGCGGCGATAGTGGTTTACTGCCCGACAGAAGTTTACCTGCATTACATACAATAAAACTGCAGTTTAATTAATCATATACCGGGGAATGGTTAAGCTTTCACCAAATAATGCTGAAAGACTTAGCCCTGTATAGCTACGTTTCAAGCAACAAATTCAATTCAATTAGAAACCGAGTCTTACGATAGTTTGACAGTCTTATGCAACGTCAGATCATTTAGCATCTAATGACAGATCTGTCTGCTGCCATATTAATTAAATCGCATCAAATCTATTCAAATTAAAAAACTGTCTATTATCGCCGTCCATAAACAAACTTTTCCACACAAACCCTACCCTGAAAGGTATCACTGATAAAATAAGGAAACCGCGCGATGAGGAGAACTGTATACAGCAAACATGATTTTCAAGAACAGTTAAATTTTCACCGCTGTACCAGTTTGAATTTGAAATTTCCTGTTTTTAAGTAAGCTGTGCGTTCGCAATGCTTGTTTGGTATTAATGCCTTTATGAACAGCTAAACAGGCTTTATCGCATAAAAAATGCCTTGCCTGATTTACCATTCAAACACTTATAATATTTTTAATATTAATGTTCTTGCATTAGCTCTTGAATATTCCTATTCTGTTTTAACGGAAACTTGTACGTTCTGCTCGACGCCGTCCAAAGGCATTGGAGAAATCCTTAGTGCCTGAGTTTCAGCTGCGGTAAAACTTCGGATTGTTCAGAGTTGCTTTTATGATGCGTTTGTATAGATTGTTTGTATGTTTCTCTCTGTATTGATTATGATTCCTTAACATCATCATAAGCTCGTGATCAAGTCTAGTGTCAGGTCCATGCCGTTGAGCTCGACCTGCTTACTCTATTTTTTGTTGTCTGCATTTTAAAAGAACAAACATTTACTTTGTTACCAAATTTCAGGAAGCTTTGTTTGCCACAGATTATCTACCCATTTCACGAATTTGCTTTGCTTATCTTAAGTCATCTTTTCGCCGCCTTCCTCGCGATCGAGTATCTGTTTTGCATTGCAGTTTGTTTTCGATCTTTACCAAGTTTTTTGAGGCAGAACAGCCTAATTTATCTTGAACACTGACGGCAGACGCAAACTCGGAATATTGACAATGATAATATGATGTCAGGTAGTCACTTATGCCTCCTTTTTCTTGATTCACAGTTTAGCGCAACAGGTTACCTGGACAACGTTAACTTGTCTTTGTTTCATCTTCCTGGCACATTTCGAACCGTCATGGTCAGGGAAATATTATTGTTTTTAATCATCATCTCAAGCTAATAAAGCTTGATGGGCAGAATATCCCAGATTTATGATACCTGAACTTTAGAAATGGTAATTAAGATTAATATTTGGGTAAAGTACAGGAACAAGGCTGCGCAATGTCAAGATAGTTGATTACGGGAGCACTTTCTACATGGGATTAGTCGTTTCATTCATCATTGGGAAACACTTGGCCTATGAAACTGCAGCTGCCGCTGAAAAATTAAATGAACTCTTACCTTCTTTATGGGATACACCACGACTTTGGTAATTAACTTGATATTTGTCCACATCCTGTATACACAAGTAATATTCGCCGGACTGGGCCAGTGCTTCCCGGTTTGAAAGCATGCCTAACGATGTCAGAATGCTCCCTCTTCCTGTTTTTCAAAGCAACTGTTTCGCAACCAACAATTTCCCCTTTGTTTCGTTTCAGAACCGAATGAACCACAGACTGGGTCTGCAGCACAAATTCTCTTGGCATCAGCATAGAAGAAAGTTTGCACTTTAGGTACTTATCAAAGTACAGTAATGTAGCTATTTTTTAACGGTTAATTTTATTATGATTTCATATTCGGCAACATATCTTACTGATCTGTAGTATGGAAATGATTCTGTCCTTTCTAGTAGTAC